TACATAATCGGGAAGCAGAAGCTAAAATGAAGTAGTATGGAAGTACTACTACTGTAGTACTTCCATATTATATGAACCATGAATGCTAAATCATAAAATATGTTATATACCGTTATATACCGTATACATATATTCCAGTCATTTGATTGGTTAAAAAGTGGGTAATATAAGCCTTGTAGAATCTATGTATGAGGTATATACAGTACACCAAATATCGATTGCTCTGAATTCATGAAACGGCAATAACTGTAACTCCTCGGTGATGCGGAGGCCGTAGGCTAATATCGTCGCATCACCTTGAGGCAATAATTTTCTACTCATTCGGTTTTCAATATTTCAAAGACAACCATTACCTCATTTCATATCCAAATACCTTGATTTGTGTACTATTTATATATTGGACACTTTAACTGTGTATGCTGCACATTGGTTTAATTGAATTTTTATTTAATATAAATTATAACTTAATTAAATCAATTAAATAAAATTTTGATTTAATGTAAATTCAACCACAGTTGATACTCAGGAAAATTTACTCAGGAAAAATAATTAATTTTCTCATCGTCACATTGATCTAAGTTTAACATGTGTGCGTCAAACACCATACTGTAACGTGCGAAATGAATTGTCTCCAATCCGATTCGAACCATCAACAAAAGCCTCAATGGCCCATTTGTTTTAGACATTTGCATAGACAGCAGAAGGTCCCAGGTTCAAATCCCGGTTGGCGCAACAATTTTTTTACACTCGTACAAATTGACTTCAAGTGCTCTTTTTTTTTTTAATTATTGTTTGGTTTATTTTTATTTATATTAATTGAAGGAACAGTTTAAATTTACACATAACATCTGAGAATGAGATAAATATACTGTAATTCAATGTATGTATAAAGGTTAATATATATCATTATCTATTAATATACCACAATAATTACTATGATCATCAAGTACATAATATGTACTTCTGCCCATTATGCCTCTTGGCACATAGGGCAGCACATAATATGTAGGCCTACCTGTAGTGGATGTACAATTTAGTAAACTTTATATATTTATATATATTGTGACGAAATTTAATAAATAAACTACTGGTACTGGCATGCAGGTTTCTTGGTTTTTTTTCCCATTGTATAGTACACAGCAAAGTCATGCAGTCTTTATTTACTGTTATACTTTATCAATACTTTGCATTCATGATTCCAGTTGAGTTCAATGTCAATGATAGTATTATCTCAAGTTGTAGATTTTTATGTAATCTGTGATCTCATTTACTTTGCAATCTATTTACCTTGCCTATATTACTCCTAAAACTTATCACCTTTCCTTATGTCAATTACAAAGTTTCAGATAGACATAAGTTTGTTTATACCATGATTCAAAATTGTGTATACGTTATCTAAGCTATCTTCAGGTTAGAATTAATCCATCGGCAACAAATAAGAATAGTTTTCAGTATCGGGTATAGAGTCATCTGCGTGTATGAGAAGAGCAAGGGTGGTTGGACACATCTTTGAGGCAGTGGTGTCATCTAAGAGTCTTGAAGTGGTCGTGTTCATGGGGGAAAAAGATGAAATGGGGAGGCTCGATCATCTTTTGAGTGAGGGTGCTAACTCGCAAAATTTTCGGTGCTTTTTAACAACTTAAGTGTGAATTTTGCGGGGGACCAGGGGTGCGCGAGTAATGTTTGAGGGGCGTGGCACCCCTAGATACGCCAATGCTTTGAGGGGTGCTTGTTTTAGCCCAGGGAGTTGTTGTGGTTTGCCTTATAAAGGAGGAGTGTTATAAAGTTTAATATTATCAGAGGAAAAAATAAAAAAAAATCATAAAACAAGCATAGTATTTAGATTAATTTCCTATCAAGCAAGGGTGGAGTTTATGTGACTAAGGAAATTATTACGTCAGGTACACAGTGGCGTCGCTAACAGAGAAAAAAAATATTTATTTGCATTAACAAATGGTCCGTCAGTGCCGAGGGTGGAATAAAAGAAATCCTGTTTGGGTTCATGGGGAGAGCTTTTATGGCTTAATTTGTTCCTAAATGTGCTTTTAGACAATATTAGGGATTGGCAATCAAAATAGCATTATTTGGATAGGCAAATTATTATTATTTTTGTTCCGACGACCTAGTCGTTCGCCAGACGACAGGAGGGAACAGGTGGAAAAATGTCCCCGATTTTTTGAACGGCAAAATATCGGTTCGGTAAAATTCAACAAGCCCGTAGCTGCGTGCCAAGGGCCCCCCCGGGGTCCAGTGCCAAAACCCCGGTGGGGGTCCAGCATTCGAAGCATTTACAGGTGTTAT